CTCAGCTTACCAGGACAGTCTCAGCTTACCAGGACAGCCTCAGCTTAACAGGACAGCCTCAGCTTACCAGGACAGTCTCAGCTTACCAGGACAGTCTCAGCTTACCAGGACAGTCTCAGCTTACCAGGACAGTCTCAGCTTACCAGGACAGCCTCAGCTTACCAGGACAAAGTTTTAGTTCATTAGAACAAGATTTCTGACTATATAAATACCAGTAGTGTTTTCTGATATATTTTAAACAATAAATATCTTAATATAACCGGTGATCTAGACTTGTTATATATTTGCACAGTTTAATATCAGGATAACACACGCCAGGATAACACACGCCAGGATAACACACGCCAGGATAACACACGCCAGGATAACACACGCCAGGATAACACGCGCCAGGATAACACATGCCAGGATAACACGCCAGGATAACACACGCCAGGATAACACACGCCAGGATAACACACGCCAGGATAACACATGCCAGGATAACACGCCAGGATAACACACGCCAGGATAACACACGCCAGGATAACACGCGCCAGGATAACACATGCCAGGATAACACGCCAGGATAACACACGCCAGGATAACACACGCCAGGATAACACACGCCAGGATAACACATGCCAGGATAACACGCCAGGATAACACACGCCAGGATAACACACGCCAGGATAACACGCGCCAGGATAACACATGCCAGGATAACACACGCCAGGATAACACACGCCAGGATAACACACGCCAGGATAACACGCGCCAGGATAACACATGCCAGGATAACACACGCCAGGATAACACACGCCAGAATAACACACGCAAGGATAACACACGCCAGGATAACACACGTAAGGATAACACACGCCAGGATAACACATGCCAGGATAACACACGCCAGGATAACACACGCCAGGATAACACACGCCAGGATAACACACGCCAGGATAACACACGCCAGGATAACACACGCCAGGATAACACATGCCAGGATAACACACGCCAGGATAACACACGCCAGGATAACACACGCCAGGATAACACGCGCCAGGATAACACATGCCAGGATAACACACGCCAGGATAACACGCGCCAGGATAACACACGCCAGGATAACACACGCCAGGATAACACACGCCAGGATAACACACGCCAGGATAACACGCGCCAGGATAACACACGCCAGGATAACACACGCCAGGATAACACGCGCCAGGATAACACACGCCAGGATAACACACGCCAGGATAAGATACGCCAGAATAACACACGCCAGAATAACACACGCCAGGATAACACACGCCAGGATAACACACGCCAGGATAACACACGCCAGGATAACACACGCCAGGATAACACACGCCAGGATAACACACGCCAGAATAACACACGCCAGAATAACACACGCCAGAATAACACACGCCAGGATAACACGCCAGGATAACACACGCCAGGATAACACACGCCAGGATAACACACGCCAGGATAACACATGCCAGGAAAACACACGCCAGAATAACACACGCCAGGATAACACATGCCAGGGTAACACACGCCAGAATAACACACGCCAGGATAACACGCCAGGATAACACACGCCAGGATAACACACGCCAGGATAACACACGCCAGGATAACACACGCCAGGATAACACACGCCAGGATAACACACGCCAGGATGACACATGCCAGGATAACACACGCCAGGATAACACATGCCAGGATAACACACGCCAGGATAACACACGCCAGAATAACACACGCCAGGATAACACACGCCAGGATAACACACGCCAGGATAGCACATGCCAGGATAACACGCCAGAATAACACGCCAGGATAACACACGCCAGGATAACACATGTCAGGATAACACACGCCAGGATAACACACGCCTGGATAACACACGCCAGGATAGCACACGCCAGAATAGCATGCCAGGATAAGACACACCAGGATAACGCAAGTCAGGATAACGCACGCCAGGATAACACACGCCAGGATAACACACGCCAGGATAACACACGCCAGGATAACACATGCCAGGATAACACATGCCAGAATAACACACGCCAGGATAACACACGCCAGGATAACACACGCCAGGATAAAACAAGTTAATTCTCAACTATCTCAACTCTGACTCCCACCTCTATGCCACATCTATCCCTCTACTAACCCACCTCTATGCCACATCTATCCCTCTACTAACCCACCTCTATGCCACATCTATCCCTCTACTAACCCACCTCTATGCCACATCTATCCCTCTACTAACCCACCTCTATGCCACATCTATCCCTCTACTAACCCACCTCTATGCCACATCTATCCCTCTACTAACCCACCTCTATGCCACATCTATCCCTCTACTAACCCACCTCTATGCCACATCTATCCCTCTACTAACCCACCTCTATGCCACATCTATCCCTCTACTAACCCACCTCTATGCCACATCTATCCCTACTAACCCACCTCTATGCCACATCTATCCCTCTACTAA